GTGTGCGGTCAGGTCAATGGTGCTGCGTCCATGATGTTTTGTGACGAGGGACTCGAGCGTTGATGATGATGATGGTGTTTTGGTAGGAGGAAGATGCAGAAGCACAAGCACAAGCAACAAGAGAGAGGAGGAGAGAGTATGGTAAGGTAGAGCAGAGCAGCAGCTGTAATTGCGGGCACATGGCACTGGGCAGAGAGAGAGAGGGACGGAAGTGCCGCAATCGTGGGTGGAGCGGCAGCTGTGGGGTACGTACTCGTTGGAGTATCAAGTCTCTCTTCTTCCATATCTCTCTCTTTCTACTATGCAGTAAGGTACTACTCCATAAGGTACTTCAAGCCTACCTTAGGTACTACGCAGTGCTCCATACTGCAAGTGAGAGGAACCTGGTCTTCACGGTTCATCCCCGATGCCCGCTCCACGCCACGCTCATAACGCGGCGACGCCCACGACGACGGCCCAACGACTGGGACCTTTTGAGGTGGATTATCTTTGGGTAGTGGAGCTGGAATGGAGCATTGGATCGTGCTCTCTTTTTTTCCATCTGCCCTTTGGCGGCCTAGCCCTGGGACTGGTACACTAATAGCATCTGGATTACTACGCAGTGGGTAACCGTGCCTTATGTAAGTGGACAGTACTTTGTGTCAAGTATCTATCAGAATATGGACTCGTTGTTAGGTTGTCTGCCATTGGGTTCTTTCCGCGTCGTCGTCACTTCCCTCGCCATCTTTCTTTCCGGCAGTATCTCGTTCTTTCCATCCTTGACTCTTGCATTCTGACTTCCTTCCCTCCCATCGCAGCTACACCCCGAGGTATTCTTCGGAGAAACTTGGAATGAGGCATGTAAGTAATGTGGCACGGCCGGTACGTACTACGATACCTTAGCTCGCACATCCCGAGAATACCTCACTTTAGGCAAGGTAGGTGGTGGAGGTACCTGACCCTGCCCTTCTTGTGTACCTTAGCTCGAGGCACATTGTGAACGGCAAGATGATGCATGTCTGACTTCTGACTCTGTCAGGCTTGGTCAGCGCCTATGGCAACGGCAGCAGTAACGGTAACGGCAGAGGCGGCGGCAGCAGCCACATCATTTCATCCCTTCCCGCCAAAACCTCATCGTGCATGGCTTGTCGTTGGACGTCTTGAAGATCCCTCCTTCTTTCCGCCTCCCATCTCGCAGCGTCTTTTCCCGAGAGCTGATACTGGTATGGGGAGCGGCAGCAAGGCATAACAACATGGGGGAAACCTACCTTACCTTAGTCTAAGATACATTCAGGTAGGGGGCTGCTGCCTGCCGATGCTGTGTAATTGGGCTTCCGATGTATCTTCAAAAATGCGGTGAACAAAACAGCCCTTGCTCTGCCGTGCATCGACTGCATTAAAACCCGCCCACTACCACACTGCGTCCACTCTGCATCCAGTACTATCCGAGGTACGTATCTTTTATATAGGTACTGCGTAGGCCACTTGCGCGTGTCGCCTCGTTCGCTACTGCATCTCTGCTCTAGCGCCACGTCTACTTGACGTCTCTCACTCTGCCCCTCTAAAACTGGGTAGCATTCGAGCAACACAGTGGACCTGGAAGGCGAATTGGGAAAAGATGCTGCTTGCTGATTGGAATAAGAGAAGGTCAAAAGTCGTATCACGGGGTCGTGAAAGAGAGCGTGAGAAACAGAGCAGAGTTGAGATTGGAAAATAAAATACAAAAGACGAACAGAAGAGAAAAAGAAGACGGAAAAACGTGTATCAAGCCGGGGTAGACCCGGTAGAGGAATGGTCCCCTTAGGTAATGTCTCAACCGACTCGTCCAAATCAGCGAATCTCAAGTCTTGTGCAATTAATTCCCTAGACTCAATTGTACAAGTAGAAGCTAGTTCGACCACTCTGAACAGCGGCGGGGTAATTAGCCCCCATTTGACACTCGCACCCCATGTTCCCATGTTTTGTGACTCGAGGACCCTGAATTTGGGGCGAACTGGTGTCTCGTGATCTCTCTTCCCTCACTTCCCCATGTTCTACTATTGCCCTCCTCTCTTATTACACTCATCCCTAGGATACCGCGATACCTCACCATACCAATTCTAGGTATCCAAAACAACAACAGGCGGTGACCATCACAACCAACACACGAGTGGCAATGCGCCTCGTCCGTGTTGCTGCTCCATTCCGTTTTATCGTGCCAAGTACCTACCATAGGTAGCCTCAAGATACAGGTGACAGGATGGGTGCTGTCCCGTTCAAATGGTAAATTGCATCGAGCATCCCGGGTCACGGGTGGTCCCCAAAGCCCCAAACGTCTTCAGCCGTGCCTGCCGTCATCCAATCCGCAGCCCTCTAATTCCGTCCCCAGGCGACCCCTTCCTTCCTTCCTTCCTTCCTCCGAGTTTCCGTTGTCACGTGACTTCCTCTCCTGTCCAAACGGCAATACGCAGTACGTACCATTCTGGATGTCTCCAATATCCCATGTCGAATTTCTCTTTCTCTTGCGCACCAGTCTTTTCCTCTCTGCCTCGTCAGCCCTGTCTGTTTTCATCGGCTACCCCTTGCATTAATCCCACCTCGAGGTTTCACTCTCGTCAACAACTGCCCTGCAACAAGAGCATCATTGGTGACCCTGCTCTCCAAGACGACGACGACGACAACCATGAGTACTGCTGACCGTAACTCCCCGAACCAGCGTCAGCATTCGTCTGTCCCTGGCTCAGGCTTATACCCTCGTGGCCGACGCTGATGTCAATCAACTTGGAGCATGTTGGGCTGTTCTCGCTTCGCTTGTCATCTTCTTGCGCCCGTCGTCTTGTCCGTGCCTCTTCCCCCGGTCATTTGAGGCCACCGAGGGAGCATTCATCATCTTGTCCCATGGCACAGCCCGACTTCAAACATACACAACCAAGTTCAACTTCACTTGGGCACCGACTACGTCAAAGAGATGGATTCCTTACGATACCTCGTCTCAGAAACTCCGTGCGACTGTCAGAGTTAATAGAAACAGGGCATAGAGTCTTACCTGCAACATCAGGTCACTCGACGAATGCATGCCAGCACTTATCCGTCAGCATCTGGTTCTCGGAGCCGACCCCGACGGACCTCGTCGATCATCCCCCAATCTCTGCGCTCACGCCTCCCTGGCAACAAGGCGTAAATCTTCTGCCTGCTTGTCACTCCTCTACGGATACCCACCACGAGCAGCCAGCGAGGCCTAGCATACCCCTGCTGCGCCGATAAATGTTCCCCAAATTACATCAGTCGCTGGCAAAAGCGTCCTGTTCCCGACTAATGACTGCTCGTCTTGTCCTCGTCTGCCAGCCACCGCCCCATTCATCGCTCGCAATTACTCCAGCTGTGGCTAGCCCCTCCAATACCACAGGAAACAATGCTCACGGGTCCAAACAAACCAGAAATGGAGGGGCACGAGGGGAAAGCGATGCGAGTCAACGTTAACCATGTTGCTGTTCGACATGACTGCAGCGTGGAGCAGCACCGCAAGTCCTCCCAGATAGAAGCGGAATCCCATCGTGCTGGTTGAAAGTGGCTCGGTCTGGGGCGGATGACCGAGCGTCTGGCCGATAAGAAACATACATCAGGTTACAACGGCAGCGCACGGTGCGGAGCTCCAATCTCCAGATTCCAGTCACTCAGCGAGATTATCCTCCTCGGTGAGAGACCGACACCTTGGAGTTCGAATTATCGGTGCAACACTCTCCAACAAGACTCCAGGATATACCTATCTTCTCCAAGAGGCATGTATGTACCTCCATACGACAGGCATCATCTCCCAGCGTGTCACTGCGACAAGCCATCAACACAGGGGGTTGTCACTCGCACCATCATCCCGACAAACTCACCGCGTCTTTTCCCGCCATATTGCCTCGGTCGCCCAACCATGCTCCGATCAAGCTTCCCCATGCTCGCTTTTGTCGACCGGCCAAGGACCTCGGTGCGTCCAGCAGCCTAATTGCACGTCCCTTTCCGACACGCGACTGCTTCACCGACCTTCCCTTATTGTTCCTCACAGACCAGCGACCCAACGTTGCCCAAACTCAGCAGGGTATATGCCTTCTGTCCGGCTTTCGGAACCGCAACCTAGAATAACTGTCACTCACGGTCATCCCCGGGAGCTTCTTTTCTGGCCAGTGCCGTGGCCATCGTGATCATTGTTGATTATGTTCTGAAAGAGACCATCTACTATGGAAACACGTCGTCTACGTCTTGAGTCACACACCAGGTGACACCAGAATACCCGCCTGGTACACGTACTGGTCTCGAGTAGCACCGCCACGGCGATGTGTCGGGACCCCTACGGATAGAGGCGCCGCCTCCCATGCGCCAGTGCCAAGTTGAAATGCAGCACAAGCTGCAGATGAGACGCATACACGTAGGGCGGCTGCAAGCTAACAGCTGCGTCTCCTACGGGAACTCGGCGTAGATGTCCTAGTCGCCATGTGTTCGCTTGAAATTTTGACTGCCAGCACTTTATCGTTGAACAGTGTCATAACCATGTATCGCATTCTAAGTCGCACCCGTCGCGCACCTATTCTTGTTAGCCTCAAACCACGCCTCCAACTGCGACGCGAGGCGCAAATCGAACCGAGCGTCTCCCATACGACGTGATACCGATTCATGGACATGGAGTATGGACACACGCACCACCCCGCCGGGCAGCAGACATCCTCGCTAAATCCATCCATCTTGACACACATCGGCCCTTTCCAGAGGTTCATTGCTTGTGGTTACTCCCAGCCAAGCGAAACGGTCTACCTGCGCCAATCAAGGGCCCGCTGATCAGGTCGCGATGCTGGATACACCTTCCACAATAGGCACTCGATCATGCATCCCGGAGATGTCCCGCGTGATGCTCATGATCCTCACCTTTACTGAGGCACTGCTTGTATATCCTCGACAATCGGGCAAACAAGTTCTCTCAGGGCTGTCTATCTCAGGGGCCGCTTCAAAGTTGAGCCCAATTCCCAGGCTCCTGGGCCACTCGCTGCCCAGCAAGTCGCAAGCGCACGGGTCACCGGGGGTCGTATGTAGTCTTCCGTCGCCAGCCGGTTTGTCCTTGCAAAACGCTCATTAATACAGCAAGCCTCACCTTGGCTTCTCGACTGGGTTATGCTATGGTCCTGCTGCCTGGTTTGCTTCTATCATCTCCCGGACAAGCCGCAGATGTCAAGCGGGAACCGGAAGCATTCACGCGGCGAAGCGGGCGTTCTCGCGCAAAGTCTAGCTGCAACCTGCCTCACCGATATCCAACTCCACGACCGCGAAGCTACACTACAAACTTTCTTGATCAATAAGGCCGTGGTATGATCTCATTATCCAACATGCCAGGTAATAAGCTATCCGTTATTGGCCACCCAAGCCCGGCAAAGAGGCAGCGGTGTGTCCAGCGCCGGGGTAAAGGGAACCTCCTATCGGTCCATTCGCCATCCTAATTTTCAGGCATGACCATGCGACTGAGGACACCCAGCGGAACGGTTCCCCGTATTCACCATCCCAGTGACATCAGCCGTGAAGTGGTCTTCTCCCGTTCGGGCTTTTGTCAATTTGCGAGCGTTGCTGTCGTTGGCTATATTTCACTGAAGTCTGCGATTTCTATGGTCTCGTAGCAATTCGGAACTCGCAACTCGCCACTTATCCAGAAGAGCCGGTGAATTTACTCGGAATTCCCGCAAATTGGGATAGAATTTTGGCTGTACCTACCTTCCATGCATCTAATGCATAGTGTTCGCCACACCTACCGGCAACAACCGACCATCGTCCCGTGTCTCAACGGTCGATGGTTTGTCCCTGATAATTCCGATGATTTCTCCAACCTTGCCTTTTTGGAGACCGACGGCCAGCTCCCACCATCCTTCTTGCTTGCCAATAGGTATCATTGTCCGGCTCGGTTTCCCCCGTCAGTCCAGTCCACGGGCCGGGCCAGCCCGGCTTACACACGGCGGTGATGGCGACGATCTTCCTCAAAGTGGCATATCGGTTACATGTCTAGGGATGTCAGCAGCCATGGATCATGGTAGCGTTCCCGACGGTTATCACAACGGCTTTTGGAGCTAATATATCTCGCTCTCACACAAGTTTGAAGAGCGGCCATGATCGGGACGTAGACAATAGGCGGTCGGCTTCTGCATGCCTAGGATTAGCGCAGCCGAAAGGCTGATAGGGCCACACATTATTGTTCCTCTGTCGCACTCTCGCTTCCTCTCGTGTGCCCAACCAAACAGACCTACGCACTAATCTTTGACTCATAGGAATCGAAAGGTACTGGATGGATGTCAGCAACGGACTGTCCCGTTGTACTCGGCCCGGGGTGCGGCGCCATAGCTCGAGGCCGATGTGAGGGTGCAGGACACACCGGCACTTTTGCTGACCTTGGAAGCGTCCAGCCTATGATTTCGGTTCCCTAGCCACTTACACCGTACACATACAGGCTCGTAGGTGAGAATGTAGCAACCGAGGACACCTCGGATCCTTGGATTCGCATCGTTCCAAGGAACCATTGCCGCTAAGGTCGATCTTGGTTCTGCAATTCTGCAGTTTGGGAAAATGCAGCATTATTCTGCAACGTTTCCCTCCTCTGGATCAATGTCATGGATGCAATCATCCCACCTTTCGGCAGATTTGTTGGTGCCCTCCCCCCACGCCATTTCGGGGGCGTCCGAGGGGCGGGTTCCCGTCCCCCGCAGAGGAGACCAGGCTTACCGCTTACCACGGTATCGGGACGGCGATATCAATTCAATCTCCACGGTGAGAGATAGCGCTAGTGATGAGGCGATAGCATTGCAGAATGGCGATGACCAATGTGTTTTCAACGTGATTGTTCATCGAGTTTGACACATCCCCACGCCGCCCTAGTCAAGTAATGCTATGTGGTGGATGGCGTGGTCAGGTGGGTAGATGTTTTGTCCTTCCTTTTCAGCTCAGCTTGGTGTCCTTGGAATCTTTGATAAGGTACTCGATCGGATTTTGGAAGCTGGTTCGCCTTTCTTTCGTCTTGGACTTGGGAATGGCGACTGCAAAACGCCAGCTGAGTGAGGTGAGGCACTTCCGCTCAAAGACGTAGCTTTTTTTTCCTGTGCCGTTTTTGCTATTGCTACCCTGGTCTTACAAGTCTCCGTCTTGTGACTCTGTTCCCTGGACCCCCGGACATGACCAATCATTCGGTGAGAGAAAACACTGTGATGATGTTATCCATGTCTTGTTACTCGGACTGGCTGGACGACGAGTCGGACGGGGGGGGTTTTTTTTTTCTTACTTATACTTGCGAGGCAAAGAGGCGGCACGGAGGGACTAACGATGTGACCTTGCCCGGAAGGACGTGGTCGTATCGATTCTTCAGCAGTGAGACCCATCTTGGTTGATTTGATTTGATTTGATATGATGTGGTGGTAAGAGGTCCCTACATATGAGGCTGTGCCAAGATTTCTTTTTGGGAGTTGGAAAGGTGGTAAGGCTTTTCTTTTCTTTTCTCACATCATCTTGGGGGGTGGGTTCAGTATTCTGATGTGACGATGACGGTTCCTCCGTTGTGTGACGGAGGTGGGAGGTTGTATGCATACAGGCAGCAGTCTTACTTTCCAGCATTTTGCGGGCGTGGTTTTTTTTTTTGTGTCATCATGTGAATGTGGTTGAAATTGGGTGGTTTCTTTTGGCGAGGCTTATGGGGAGTCGTGGAAAGATGATTCCTGGCCAATGATATGAAATTTTAGAGGAGGATAGATGACTGGGCGTACGCAATCTAGTACGGTCCAACATTCCCATGGCCTCGAAGCACCATTTCACTGGTTGTAGGAAGCTAGCTGCTTTCATCTCTATACGTTGCCTCGAAACATTGAGTATCAAGATATCTTCATTCCTTCCTGGACTTCGTGGTGCGGTCGTTGCTGTGTGGTGGTAGGATGCAGTGCGACGGAGCGGATCCCGAATTGTTGTAATCTTAAGTCAATAGCATCGGCTGTAGACGCGAAGCTGCTGATGCTGTCTTCCGTTATGGTGACGTGTGCGGTTGCGAGGGTTGTTGTCTGGTCTAGTTGCCAGACGAGTAAGTTTGAAACTTCTTGGACCCTGGGGACCTGAGGACGTATTGTCAGTCTTGTCCGTTTTGCTCTTTCCATATCGCCTGCTTCCAACATCCACATCCACATCCACATCCCCCCTATACACGTTAAGATACATGCACGCATTTTGTGCCGCCTATCTCTGAATCTTTGGGGTATAAGGCGAGTAAAATACATAATGATATGGAAAGGTAAAACTACCTTACCTTTAGCATCCCCCCCCGGACAAACTCCACGTCAACGCCCGCAGGCGCGCTCTCCATCAGGATCTGGCCTGCGCGCCGGCAGAGGGGCACAGCGGAGAGCGTGATTGTTAGGGCGATGAAGATGCCGATTGCCGGGTCGGCGTAGAAGCGGTTGGGGGAGGGAGATTTCCAGATGATGAGGGCGGCGATTATGACGGAGAGGTTGTTCAGGGCGTCGGTTAGGACGTGGAGGAGGACGCCTAGCATGTTGATGTTGAGGGGTGGGTGTGGTTGTGGTGCTTGGGAGATGATGTTGTTGGTATAGGCGTATTGGTGGGCGAGAGGGGGTCTCTTGACTCCTCGGCGGGTTGTGTGGTTTCTCGGGTATGTTCCTGATGATGGGGTTCTGTGTCTTGGGTTCAGATTCGTTGCAGACGGCTTGGTTGAAGATTTTGCTGACCGTGGAGGAAACTTAGGACTATCACGTTGAGCCCGAGGCCGATGCAGCCCATGATCAGAATCAGTGTTGGGTCTTTGAGATCTGTGAATGTTTGTCAACAGTTTTGAGCTCGTTACTATCGTTTGCCAAAGGCCAAGCCCATCAGGACTGGCAGGCAAGAAAGGCCCAAGACTCACTTGGAAGTTGAGTGAATCTCTCAATCGCTTGGAGGAGGATGCTGACACCCAACGCAAGCAGAAACACGCCGTTGAAGAAGGCTCCCAACACCTGGGCGCGATTCCAGCCAAAGGGTAGGGATTTAGGCGGAGGGGGTTTCCTCTCTGAAACCTTTTTGGTATATCAGTCTTCGGGTCAAGTACGGCTTGGTCAGGTTTTCAGAAGGAGGACTTACTACCAAAGCTATCAAGGCGACGGCGAACCCTATCAGGTCATTCATCTAGATCGTTTGTCAATTACACCGACTGAACTAACATTAAGAAATAGGGGGATTGGCTTTCGCCGTCTTACGTAGTGAAAGGCGTCTGCTATAAGAGCGAGAGACTTTGTGCGGTACCCGACGACCAGCTCTGCGATGAAGAAGCCGCCAGATATCGCTATTGCGGCCATTATACGGCGCTTTCTGTTGATCTTGAAGCGAGACATACTCGTCCGGCTTTTCCACGTCCGGGAAAAGTTATCGTGGAACCACTACAAAGATTAGATTTGAACTTCAACAAGGACAAAAAGGAGAAGGAAGCGTCGACATGCGTAAGGCGGATACTATTAAGTCGCGCTATAGTCAAGATCTTTTTGTTTTCCATCAACGGAAGAGAGCTTTGGACAGCGGTCGTACAGCCACAAGAGACGACGGATGAGAGTCTCGTACAGCCGGGTCATTTTCCCAAGACTCGGGACACACACAGACACGAGAAAGGCGTCTCTGTCCCGGCCCGGGTTGGCACATACAGGCACGGGAAGGAAACGGAAGCACGGAAGTTGTTTCTGTTCTATAAAAAAAGTTTGGGGCTGATGACTCGTAGGTTTTAGATATTACGCAACTTCGCCTGTTCATACTGGGATCATGAAATATGTTTATTGAGACTTTTGGAGGAAGGCGAGTAGGAAAAGAAAGGTTGGTGGTTGACTTAGTGGCATCGATTCGGATAGCTGCGTTGTCACTGTGCGATGCTCCTCCTTGGCGGGAATGAAAGGGGATCAGAGTGTTTGCTTCGGGGTGATTAAAGGTGTCACAAGTTGGTTGTCAGTTGCTCACGGTGAACGAGCTTCGTTGTATATCTGGATGGTATTGAGTTGACGTGGCTGACTGCTTTAGTACGAGAGCGTGTGACGGTAAACCGAAAGAGGTCAGCGCGATCAAGACTTCTGAGGCAGCGAGGTCACATAAACAGAGTTGGGGAGTCTGGAAAGAGGCCATTCCTTGTAGTTTTGACTTACACGAATAGTCAAGTCAATTTCAAGTTTCTAAATACTGGATGAGTATTATTAGTTCAATTAACTTCTGATTTGAGAGTATTCTTGAAAATCACAAGCTGAGTCTGATACAGAAACGAAGTCCCTTCAAAAAGAATGCATTGTGCTGTGCGGCTAACACGATG